GGTTAGACATCAGGAATCTCTGGTTAGTATAGACTCTATTGTCAGGTTTCAGTGGCTTACTGGACACTTAAATTCCCCCATTCCCCACTCCCCAAGTGGTCTCTCTCTACTCTGCTTCTCCCTCCCCCACCCCAGAAGCTTGGTGTTGTGCTCACCATGTAACACCATGTTTCTTTTCCCTCTAATTCTTTATATTTTTAAAGAGTTTGGAAACAGTGCAGGTCATGGAGTTTTAGGCTGTCTCCCATCCTGACCTTGACCTGCTTACCTTTGTCTGAACAGCTGCTTTGTGCATCTTGGGAAACTGGGTTCAAGACCCAATAATTCAGATCCTCGTCCACTTATTCCAGGAAATTGCATCCAGACATTCAGTGGCTGCTTATCTTCCACAAGCCTCGCCCTACCTTTTTCTCACGTTCATCTCACTGTTACATTACAGAGTCAGACAGACATCGAGAGGCAAAAGGTGGTGATGGAATTTGAGCAAGTGCATCGCTTTCTGGATGAGCAGGAGAAACTTCTGCTGGCCCAGCTGAAGGAGATGGAGAGGGAGATTGTCAAGCACCAGAAAGTCTACGACACAAAGGTTTCTGATGAAATTGTTGCTCTCACCATCCTGATTGATGAGATAGAAGAGAAGTTTGAGCAGCCAGACAGTGAATTCCTTCAGGTGAGACGGGTTGGCTTCAGAGGGGAACCTTGAAAAAGGAGGTGTGCCAAATACACTGTGATAAAGCCTTGGTTGTCTTGGGCGGTGGGATGGACCCTCTTCACCTGTCCAAACAGGCTGGAGATACTGTAAGAGAATTCCACGTATTTGAAGAGATTATTACTCAGCTCATACAGAGAAGCCCGTAAAGAGAAGCACTTTTGGAAATCAATAAAAAAATCCATATTCTAAAAATATAGGTGGAATTAGGCATCTGCATGACTGTCCCATATCCTACCTTGCCCACACCAAATCCCTAAGTAGCAACAGAAGTAGAATCTCTTGATCGGTATGTTGTATGCCGCATTTTTTTTCCAAATTCTCATGAAGCGATTTTTATCAAAAATCTGCTCATATAAACCCCAAAGCAAAAGCTTTTAATTCTTCGTGTTTCTTTATTATTATATTTATATTCTTGGAGAGAGTAGATTACAGCTACCCTGCTGTGTAGTCCGTTGCTAATATGACTGATCCAAAATGGAACTGGGGATAGTTTTCATTTCCAGTCAAAAATCCCTCCCCCTCTAGTTACAGCCAGTGTCCATCCATTGCAGATGCTCTCTGGTGAAACCTCTGTGTGTGCTGCAGTGGCTTGCATGTGTGCTGCTTGGGTGTTTAAATGTGTAAAGGCAGTAATGTTGAACAAGAAGAGTAAAGTTAGAACATGATTGTTGTTGAGACTAACTCTTGATGTTTCACCCCATCCTTCCTTCCTGACCAAGAAAACAGTACAATATTTTGTACTGATGCGTCGGGAGGTCAAAACCATCTGTGTATTTAAGTGTATTAAGATAGTGAGAGCTATCTGAGAACATACTATAGAAATAGTGAACAATATTGTTACATGTATTTTTTTCAGAACCATTGGTATAATTTGCTCTGTAATGCCTACAAGTCTCTCCACAATCACCAAGATCACATCTGTGTATTGTCGTATGCTTTCATTCCGGTTCATTCATTTTCTCACCAGTGTCCTTTTCCTTATAACGATCAGAAGGCGACTTAAAAGCGGTTGCGCTGGTGTCTCAAATATACTTTCTCTGTTCCTCAGATATAGTGGCTCTAATGAGAATCAACTGTTATATTCACTGTCATGCAGAGTTCCTGTCTTTCTCTCCCCACCCACACTTCTCTTTCTCTAGGATATCAGAAGTACATTGTGCAGGTATGTGGCTCCACCCTCTCGACTTGAGGCACATTTTCCTCAAAGGTTGCCCGTGCTCATTTGGGGGCAGATAAGCTTGCCTTTGAAAGCATTCGGCATCAGAAGTCGACCCATACAAGGGCTCTTCCTCACAGCCACGGTAGCATGCATGCCTGTGGTCCTTGAGCTAGAGAAACCTATCCTGGCCAAAATCACATTCTGCCTCAGGGGTGAGGTTGGTGGCTGGCGCTGCCCTATGTGGGACTGTTTAAGGGCAGTGGCTTGATGGATTGCTCTGGCTTTATTCCCCCTCCCCTGCAGGGTCGCTAGCCAGCAGGAAAGTCGGCCACCACGTCCTTCACTGGGCATGGACAGATGCCCGGGTTATAGGGTTAGCTACTTTTCAAGCTGCCTGAGTGATAGGTCATTGGGACAGAGGTTCTCTACATGTGCACCCTATCACTTCCGGCTCTTTCTGGAAGAGCACTAAACCAGTGTCCAAAAAATAGACTGCCTGATAGGTCGCACATGCACTGCAGGGGGGTGGGCCTTAAGCGTGATTTCCATTTTGTCCCGCACCCCTCCCCTTTCTACGTGACCTGGTAACTGGGCTATTGTTTGGACACTGGCTTAGCTCTCTTCTAGAAGAGCACTAAACCCATATTCAGAAGTAACCGAACTGACAAGTCGTGGGCCAAACGGAGGGGGTGTGAGGAGCATCAGGAAAGTAGCCTCTTGCTTTGACCCGTGCCCCCTGCTGTGCTTGCGGCCTGTCAGTCAGGTGTCAGGGGAAGCGGGGGTGTGATCAGTAAGAACTGCAAAGGAATGGCAGTGCTGGCAGCCCCTGTCTATGGCCAGCAGCCCCTGCTTCTGTGACCTGTCACTCAAGCTGAAGGCAGAACTCTTTGACAATTTCATACACGCACACCCCGGCCAATATCCCAAGTCAATAAGTGCTACAAGGGAATGCAGTGCTGGCAGCAAGAGGTCGTGCACTGTCAGCGCTCTGAAGTAGGCCATGGAGTTCCCCTCCCCACAATAAAACCAAAAAAAGTATGGCTGTGTGGAACCCCTTGTTAGCAGAACTAGCTGAAAGCCTCTTAGCACATTCACTTGAGACAAAACCAGCAACAAACAGCTGGCAGAAACCTACCCTCTTCCTTGGTTTACATTGACCAATAGGCTAGTCCAGAGTTTTTAAACACAACTCTAGCATTCTTTCAAAATATCAACAAATCTCTCTTTAAAACAGGGTCTAGAACTCTTCCAGGAAAACACAATATTGTGTTGTAATGTAAGAAGTCTCTGTAATGTCCAGTCAGGCTTTAAGGGGGCAGATGCAACCGTGGCTTCTGCTGTGGCCCAAGCCAAAATGTGCATAAAGGGCAGTGCCCAGTGACCAGAGGGGAGAAGGTGTGACTGCAGCAACCTAGAACAGCCAAGAGGAGCTGGGCAGATTCCAGCTTGTGAGTGTACCATCACCAACATCATTAGCGAGGGGTGGGAGATGGTAGCTATAGCAAGCCTTACATTGGAAGGAGAGGGAAACTAAAACAGGAACAGTTAAATAGGTCATAAGCTACCTTCACAGTGGACTGGGATGAGATGAAGGCAACGTCATGGGGATACATCCTGAAAAAAGAGTTAGCAAGGCATCTTTGTGCAAGGACGTGAAGATGGATCCTCACTGTCAGTTCTGATACTGTAACTTTAGGCAGAGATTCTCTTAATTAGTTAAGAGTGTTTTAAGAGGAGAGTGGGATAACCTGGGGGTTTGAGCCTTCAAAGCACAAGTTCTATCTCTGAGGCTCCCCACTGCTGAAACTGGTATGGCTATCCTATTTCAAGATTGCTTCTCTTCTGGGGTTCACATAGGCCTGCTAACTCAGTTGAAGGATGTCTCTAAGCTCTTCATGCTGCACAAGAGGAAGCTTTTCTATAGTACTGTAGGAAAAAGGATCACTAGAAACTGGGAGGTAGATACCCATTACCTTTACAGGATTGCATTTCACAGAATTCTTTTCAGACATTTCTAGTTCTTCTACTCGGACACAGATGGGCAAACTGCAGAGAGCGGGAGGTTTCGTGGGTCATTTTGAGAACTGGGAACAGATCGTGTCCACACAATCCTGGTCACATCAGATGATGTGCTGAGGGGCAGGATGAAAAGCTATCTCTTCCGCCAGAGTTCCTGATTCTGCCCCAATCCGGATTAAGATTACAGTTTTCTTTTGTTGCTAATAGCGGTGAGCATGCAGTCATCTGGGCAGCAAGTAAAAGTAGGTGAGTGGTCACCTGCCCAATGCTTTGTAGGATGCAGAGGAAGCAAGTGAGAACCATGTATTGTCCACATATTTGCTAATAAGTTTTCTGGGTGCAAAATAATGCACTGACACATGAAGAAAGGATACAATGCCACTTAGCCAAAAGACAATGTCATTTTTTTTCAGAGAGATGAAAAAAGGGCATTTTATGTGGATCCCCTTTCTGAGAAAAACACCAGCTCCCCCCCACAGCAAGTACAAATATCACTGTGATGGGTAATCAGGAAGACGAATCTCTTTTGTTCAGAATAAAATTTTCTTCTCCTTTGAGTGCTAGCAATACAGAGAGACAAAGACTGCCTCTTTCAAAATGGTGTCAGTCTCTGTGCAAAATGTAGAGATATATCATGAGACAGACATGTACCAGTTGAAAGGCACACATATTATTTACAGTTCCTTTCCATCCCCCCACTTGTAATTAAAAAAATGAATTAAATGAGGTACTCAGGAAACTTCTCACCCAGTGAGATCGACAGACAAATCAGTAGAGCCAGATCAATTATCAGAAGGACTTTTGAAAAGGCAGACCACAAAAATAGAACACCACAGATTGTCACCTATAGCTTACAACTCAAGCCATTCAAAGGCATTATACTGGACAAGGACATTGCACTTTCTTAGGCTCTGGGTGGCAGGCCCATACTTGCATACAGTCAACCACTCAGCCTGAAGCAGATTTTCATAAGCAAACAGAAACAGCAGAAACATGACATCAATATGGGAACCAGACCCTGTAACAAACCCAAGGGTCTACTTTGCCCCCATATTTATATCAATAGCACCATCACAAGTCCCAACAACTTCAGACGCAGGGATTAGAGGTACCTTCCAATGTGATAAGTATCATTTGCCAGCAATGCCTCTCTGGATTCTATGTAGAATAAACAGGCCAGACTTCTGCAGAAGAATGAATAGATGCATGCTTGACATTGGGGTGCAAACCAGAACAAAATAATAGCAGTGCATTTTAACCTCCTAGGAACTGTTCTGAAACAAACTTTGCCAGCACAATTGAGTGGGAGACCGTGGGTCACATATATCAAAAGCTTTCAAGCAATCTCAGAAGGTCTTAACACACACATTGGGCTTTTAACACAATAGTTAATTGATAAGGTACTTGTAACCTGCATCTGTATAACCATATTTTCTCCTCCCTTTCATCTCCCCAATTTAAATCCTATATAGCAGGTTCCTCAACCCTGGTTGCACTTTAGTATGTTGGGTTCTTTACTCCCCAATATTCCCCCCCCCCCCCTTCCTCCGGTGGGTAGTGGTGGGAGATAAGCA